TCTCACTGCTGAGGGGTTGTCCTTTGCCACTGTGAGCCGGCTGGCCTGGCCTGGGTCAGGGCCTGGTGCCCTTGCAGGTTGCCGTGGTGACCTTCTGTGTGTCCAGCAGGTTGAGCTCCCGGGCGTGGCGGCTGGAGATCAGCTCCACGTGCGACAGGGGGAACCAGCCGCGCTCGCAGTCCGACAGCCTGGTGCCCTCCACCCACCCTGGAACGACAGGGACAGAAGTTCAGACGCACTCCTTTACGCTAAGGGTGGTTGGTGTCTGGAGCAGGCTGACAGAGAAACCCGCCCATCATAAGCAGACAGACAGGTTTAATGGGCGAAATGTTCTCGTAGTCCCCTCTTCGGTTCCTATGCTGTCTTCTCCTGCATCGTTGCCTCACTGCCTCACCCCCTCATGCCCTGCCTCACCCCATGTCTCACGCCCTGCCTCACCATCGCTGCTCTGTTGGTGCACCAGAAGCACGTCGGCCTTCTCCAGCGTCAGTTCATCTGGCTGCTGAGAGACGTAGGACCTCAGGCACTGCACCTGGGGAGAGTCTGGAAAGCGCAGAGAGACCTTTACGCGCTGGGAATGCAAACTGTGCTTCAGCCAGGAAGAAAAAACAAACAGTGCAGAGCTTCCAGGTACCACCACCAGATTCCAGATCATCACCACCGCCAGGGAGAGAGCACTCCAACAACACAGACCGTACAACACTTCCTCATCCACTGGGACAAACTGGGATGCTACCAGAGGAGAGCACATACTGCCCCAGTCTCTGTATCTGAGCAGGGCGAGAACAAGGAGATGCAAAATAGAGGCTTAGTGGCCCCAGCCTGGACGTAGAAATTGGACACAGGCTGACATGGCTGTCCAGAGAGGACAGGCTCAGTGCCGATAAAGCTGGAGAGGAAGAGAGGGAGGCTATTAGAGACCCGGACTGTTGGGGTGCAGTGTCCATTAACGCTGCACCAGGAGACAAACCTTGTGCTGTGGTGAAGTCGATCTCGGGGTGGGGCTGAGAAAGGGCTGAGATCCAGCGCAGTTTATTGCTCCTGAGAAGAAATTGTGTCACTTTGAAATGTAAAGCCTAATAGCAATCGATAGATTTACAGTTCGTGGTGACTTTCACTGATGTCTCCTTCCCCCTCTTTCTCTCCTGCCCC